TTCCCCTTGCAGAGCAAGGCGGAGGTCCGCATTGTCCTGATCCGCTGGATCCGTGCAGTCCGTCGCCGGCTCAGTGCTCGGTTTCAGCAGGACCTCCCGGTCCTGCGACTGCACTCTGACCGAGGTGGTGAGTTTTCCTCCGGCCTCCTCGAGGACTTCTGTGGTGCTGAGGGCATCCGCCAGACATTCACGCTTCCGGCCTCTCCACAGTAGAATGGGATTGCAGAGCGCCGCATTGGCTTGGTGATGGAGGTTGCTCGCACCTCCATCGTCCATGCGGCTGCTCCCCATTTTCTGTGGCCGTTTGCAGTCCGATACGTTGCTGAGCAACTCAACCTCTGGCCCCGTGTCTCCCACCCGGAGACCTCTCCCACTCTGCGGTGGACGGGCGAAGTTGGTGGTGCGTCGCCGTTTCGGGTCTGGGGTGCCCTTTCGCTTGTTTGCGACCCCCCCGCGGGGAAGCTCTCTACCCGCACTCTTCGCTGCGTCTTCCTTGGCTTCCCTACCGACGCCCCGGGCTGGCAGTTTTACCACCCGGGTTCTTGTCATGTTCTCTCCTCCCAGGACGTCACCTTTGACGAGTCTGTCTGCTTCTAGCGTCTCCACCCCCACCGTAGTTCCCCCGTGCCCCTCCCGCCTCTCGCACTAGTCTCCAACCCCCCCCCCGGTAGCCCCACTCCCCCCGCCTGGTTCTGCTCCCTCAGGTGTGTCTCAGGTTGACCCGTCCCCCTTGGTTGAGCCAGTAGAGGTCTCCTCTGACACCTCTGGCCCAGCTGAGGGGGGTGACCTGACTCGTACTGCTACCGTGACCCCTCGCTGCTCTACGCGCTTGGTGGTCCCTCCTGGGTTTCCGCCTTGACCGTCTTCACTGCTGTTGCAGCATGTCGCAGTGAACTCTTGTGCTGCAGGAGGTGGTACCACTGGGGGTGCTGGTTTTGGGGGTGCTGGTTCTGGGGGTGCTGCGTGTCCTCTGGGTACAGGAGGTACTGGAGGTGCTGGTGCTGGTAGTCCTGGTGCGATTCTGCAGGAGGCTCTCTCGTCGGAGCGGCTTCACGAGTGGGCTGTCCAGTGGGACAGCCCTGGTGGTGGAGCTAGCCGTCTTCGAGCGGGAGGTGCTGGGACTGCTAGAGCTGGAAGTTCTACTACTGGTGGTACTGGGGGTGCTAGTGCTAGTGGCACTGGTGCACGTCGGCAGGAGACTCTCTCGCCAGAGCGGCTTCGCGAGTGGGCGGTCCGTTGGGGCAGCCCTGGTGGTGGCGTTGGACGTGCTGGAGCTGCAGGTCCTGAAGGTGCTGGCCCTGGAGGTGCTAGTGCTGGTGTTCCTGGAGTTGGCTGTGCTGGAGGTACTGGTACTGGAGGCACAGGTGCGGCTGGAGGTACTGGAGGCGCAGGTGATGCTGGAGGTACTGGAGGTGCTGGCCCTGGAGGTGCTAGTGCTGGTGTTCCTGGAGTTGGAACTGGTACTGGAGGCACAGGTGCTGCTGGGGGTACTGGCGGTGCTGACACTGGAGGTACCACTTGAGGTACTGGAGTTAGTGGTGCTAGTCGGTAGGAGTCGCTCTCGCCGCTGCAGCTTCGCGAGTGGGCTGTCAATTGGGGCAGTCCCGGTGGTGGAGCTGGAGGTACTGGTGCTGGGGGTGTTGTTGCTACTGGAGCTGGAGGTTCTGGGGGTGCGACACTCAGCCGCAGCCGTCTGCACTTCGTCACCTTCTCAGTCTCCCGCCTTCTGCCACTCAGTTCCCGGTTGCTAGCACTACTCCTCCGTTACTGTTCCCACCGACTGTCTAGTCTCAGCCACAGCTACTGCCTGGCTCCCCACTGCCTGCTCCTGCTCCTCACACTGCGGTTACAAAGTCCTTCACAGAGCGTAGAGAGCTTGCGTCGCGTCCTGTCACGCATGTCCGTTCTCGCCGTGCTGTGCGTCCTCGTCCTCCACCTGTCCCTCGCACACACATCATGGCACTTCGTCCCTCCTCTGTTCCACAGCATGTTGTCCTGCCGTCTCTTCCTGCATCTTCTCTTCTGCACGTTCCTGACCTTGAGTCAGACCTTGTCCGTACTGCCAGTCCGACTGTCACTCGTCTCCTTGCCACGGTTGTGACTAACCCTTCCTTTGAGTCTGCTGCTACGTCTGCCTTAGTTGTTGAGCTTGTTGACTTTGCAACTTTGTGCCGCCTTGACTACGCTACGAGTCGTGTTTTTTACTCTTCCTGTCTTTTGTCCGTCGGGGGTGAGCTTGCCCTTGGCTGTGACGTTCTTGAGGACAGGCAGTTTGAGCTGGAGTGCCTAGCGGCACCTGCACCTCATCTCGCGTCCACGCTACTTTGCCATGAGGGAGACCCGGATGCACTAGACATCCCGACCCCGCGCACTTACGCAGAGGCGATCACGGGTCCGTACTCCTCTCAGTGGCAGATAGCCATGGACGCAGATATGGCTTCCTGGAAGTCCACAAGCACCTACGTCGACGAGGTTCCCCCACCTGGGGCGAACATAGTCAATGGAATGTGGATTTTCAGGGTGAAGCGGCCGCCGGGTTCTCCGCCTGCCTTCAAGGCGCGTTACGTTGCTCGAGGCTTTAGACAGCGTGAGGGGGTCGACTTCTTTCAGACCTTCTCCCCCACCCCGAAGATGACCACTCTTCGGGTGCTACTGCACGTTGCAGCACACCGCGGCTATGAGCTGCACTCCCTCGACTTCTTGACAACTTTCTTGCAGAGTAGCCTTCACGAGGCTATCTGGTTGTACCGTCCACGTGGCTTCATTGGATCGTTTCCTGAGGGTACCCAGTGGAGTCTTCGATGACCAGTCTACGGCCTACGACAGGCGTTCCGCGAGGGGCACGACACACTGAGCACTAGACTTGCGGCTCTTGGCTTCGCTCCCTCGACTGCTGACCCTTCGCTGTTTCTGCGCACAGACACTTCTCTGCCGCCGATCTACGTTCTCGTGTACGTTGTCGACTTGGTTTTTGCTACTGCTGACACGGAAGCTCTGGCCTTAGTGAAGGCGGAGCTGCAGTCTTGGCTTGCAGATCACCTGGGACAGAGCACGTCGCACCATCACCCTCACTCAGTCACACATGGTGCAGCAGGTCCTTCAGTGCTTCGACTTCACGTGGTCCTCTCCACAGCCCACTCCTCTGTCTACCGGCCACTCGCTCTCAGCTCCACCTTCGGATGAGTCCGTAGAGCCGAGTGGTCCGTACCCAGAGCTTGTGGGTTGCCTCATGTACCTGACGACGTGCACACGAACTGACCTCGCGTACCCTCTCAGCCTCCTGGCTCGCTACGTGGCTCCCGGTAGACACCGAAAGGTGCACTGGGAAGCTGCGAAGAGGGTATTGTGTTACTTGTGCAGCACATCGGGCATGGGGCTCGTGGGATTCAGTTGTTCTCACCGGTCACTCAGACGCTTCTTGGGCTGACGACCAGACGACTCACCGGTCGACACAGGGGTACAGTTTCAGCCTCGGCACTGGTTCTGTCTCGTGGAGGTCCACTCGTTCTTCTTCTGTACTTGGTTCCAGCTGTGAGGCCGAGATCTACGCGGGGGCTATGGCTGCACAGGAGCTCCGCTGGCTGACCTACCTGCTGACCGACTTGGGTGAGCGGCCTCGTTCTCCTCCAGTTCTGTACGTTGACAACAAGGCCATGATTGCCTTGTGTCAGGACCAGAGACTGGAGCACAGAACGAAGCACATTTCTCTCCATTACTTCCTCACGCGAGAGCTGCAGCAGCTTCGTCTTGCTTACGTGGCCACAGAGGCCAACACTGCTGGTGTCTTCACCAAGGCCCTTGGGTCTAGTGATCATCAGCGTTTCTGCACTGCTCTTGGGCTTGTGCCCATTTTGCCTCACTTGCTTGTCTCTTGATCTTGCCTTGCACTTGTTGCACACTGATATATATGATTATACTTGCATGTTTGATCTTGCTAGGTTGTGAACAGTGTACTGGCCTTGTGGCCGCTTGCTTGTGCTCAGAATGTGTGGTGATCTTGATATCCACCCTGAGCTTTGTTTAGATTTCTTCTCTAGACTGGTCTTGTGACCACATGCTTGTTGCGGTCGGTTTGATGCATCTCACTCAAGCTATGGGGGTGTGTCAAAGTTATATTGCATATGTTAGTTTAGCCTGTAGTGAGTTGTGCCTTAGGGGTACAACATTTTCTGTCGACACTTGTCTTGTACCCCTACCTTGACCTAATCTACTATTCATTCCACTCCATTACCTTTCAACAATATCTACTCCCTTGTGTGCCCTCAGTAGTTCATTCATTATGTTCTTGTCACCCCCCCCCAACCCCCCACCCCCCCATATTCGACCTAATCTCCATTCTAACATATTTTTTGAAGGAAGAAATACTGCCTCTATATACTGTAATGGACAAGAACAACAAACAAATATACTTCCCAATGTACCTAACAGCTTCAGTTCATACAGTGACTAACAAGATCCACACGGATGTTGCTGCCAGCAGGATAACACCAACGGCGCAGCCACTTGTGCTCAAGCTGGGTTCAACCAGCACGGCTTGAGGAGACCGGGAGGGAGCTTGCCTGGGTAAAGACGATCTTGGCGGCGAACAGCATAAGAGAAGCTAAGACCCCTCGTGAAGGAAAGGGCCAATCTACATGGGAGGCCCAAACCCAAAGTCGGCTGATAGAACTCGCGGCATGAAGAACCCCATCCGCCTCTTCTCCTCCTCCTCCCTCGCCTCCTCATCCATCCTCTCCTCCTCCTCCTGCCTCTCAACTGTCCTCTCCTTCTCCCTCTCTCGCACTGCATCCAACCCCTCCTGCCCCTCACGTCCATCCAACCTCCCCTCTTCCTCCGGCTCTTCATCGATTCCCTCTTCTTCCCCCCTCCACCTATCTTCACCCTCCTCACTCCCTTTTTCCTCCTCTTCCAACCCACCACCTCCACTCCCCACAAGCCTCGGTCTCTTTCGAACGGGTGTGAGAGAGTGAGGGAGAGGAGGCAAGGGGGGGAGAGCTGTGTCATCCACACCAAGGGAGTGCTGCGCTTGCACCAGTCTCTCCCTCGCTTGCAACATCTCCTGCTGTAGGTACCGATAACGGGTCGTTGCTTCCTGGGATGAGGTAGAGAAAGCGGAAATGGCAAGATAGAGAGAGAGGAAGTCATGAGAACGAGGGCTCAGGCTCGAAACACTAGGGCAATGCAGACAGGAGGTGACAGTAACGGTGGAGATCACAGCAGAGACTGCAGCACAGTGCATCCAGACTTGAAGTGCTGGTGCAAAATGGTTTGTGCAGCGGGTGACGAAAGCTGGGTGGAAGATGTGTGAGGAGCGTGTATGTGAGGACAAATATATGCGTCAGTGTCCCGGTTGAGGAGGACGGGGTCGGTGATAGTTGTGTCTGTGATCCATGTCTCGCCCGAGTCTGGATGATGATGAGAGTGAGGACAAATGAGGGCGTTCTATACCTCGACTACAGCTATGCTGCTGCAGGCTGTCGGGGAGGAAGGAAGGATGTCAAGTATCTAATCTGGACACTTTGTCCCCCACTCTCGGTCCTCACCCCAATCTCTTTGCTTCTTGCTATTCTCTCACCTTCTCCAACCTCCTCCGACTCCCCCTTCTCAGTTGGCAAGCACGCCCACTCTCTCCCGTGCAATCTCACTACACTTCCTCTCCCTTTTGTCACACGCCTCAACCTCCTTTCTCACTCGCCTTCCGTTCTTACACTCCCTTCTCCATTGCAGCTTCCCTCACCTCTCACCTCCCCAACCTCTCACCTCCCCCAGATCTCACCCCCCCCAGCTCTCACCTCCCCCACCTCTCACCTTCCCCAGCTTCATCTCCCCCCACCTCTCACCTCTCCCCACGTCTCACCTCCCCCACCTCTCACCTCCCCCAGCTCTCACCTCCCCCAGATCTCACCTCCCCAGCGCTCACCTGCACCTCTCTTCTGTGCGCCTCCTCCTTCCTGGCCTCTGCCCGCCCCTGCTTGGCCACCTCCGCCACTATGATACTGCCGCCCATCTGGAGGAGAAAAAGGGAGCAAATCAAGAGGCCAAATGTCAAGGAGGAATGCTCGGGTTGTGGGAGGAGCGGCTGGCATGGCCCTGCTTGCCCACCTCCGCCACTATGATGCTGCCGCCCATCTGGGGGGAGGGAGAGAATGAATCAGAAGGCCCAGATGTCAAGGAGGAATGCCAGGACTCTGGGAGAGAGGTTGGTGACCTGCTCGCATGGCCCTTGTTGCCCACCTCTGCCATCTGGAGCGATGGGAAGGGACGGAATGAAGAGGTTGGGATGGGAGAGTGGGATGCTGGGATGCTGGGATGCTGGGATGCTGGGATGCTGGGATGCTGGGATGCTGGGATGCTGGGATGCTGGGATGCTGGGATGCTGGGATGCTGGGATGCTGGGATGCTGGGATGCTGGGATGCTGGGAGAGAGGCTGGATGGCCTTCTCTGCCATTCTGTGCTGCCTTCCAGGGTTTGTCCAACCGTGCATGCTTGGCCACGTCAACAATTGTGCTGGTCACGGCTCCCTAGGGGGAGAGAGATACTCTTGCAGGCATGAATCGTTGGTGCATCCGCTGGTCAAACCCGCGCGTCAAGCATTGCTGTTGTGTCGAAAAGGGAAGGACGGATGGTGGGACACAGCGTGGGCATACGACCGCAACGGGTTCTTTTCTATTGTGACGAACGTGGGCAAGCATGACTGCACCTTTCTTCGCATCACGTGGGCAAGCATGACTGCACCTTTCTTCGCATCACCGAGACCCGAACACCAACACCTCCTCTCTTGGCATCACCTAGGTGGTGTTCACTTGGCCTCACCCCTCACCACCTCACCACCTCACCACCTCCCACCTCACCCCGAAGATGAAGAGCTCCCCCAGCAGGTGCGCGGCCAGGTCAACAGCCCCCTCATTGTTGAGCGGCCGGATGGGCAGGTGGCGTGGCGGTGCCCACCCTCACCCCACGTGTGATCACACCCACTCCTCTCCTCCCACCACCTCCCACCTCACCCCGAAGACGAAGAGCTCCCCCAGCAGGTGGGCCGCCAGGTCAACAGCCCCCTCCTCGTTGAGTGGCCGGATGGGCAGGTGGCGGTGCCCACCCTCACCCACCTGTGAACACACCCGTTCCTCTCCTCCCACCACCCCACCTCCCTCATCTCACCCCAAAGACAAATAGTTCCCCCAGCAGGTGAGCCGCCAGGTCCACAGCCCCCTCCTCGTTGAGTGGCCGGATGGGCAGGTGGCGGTGATGCCTGTCGTGCTGCCGCGTGTCCAGCCGCCTGTGCAGGCGCACGTTCATGCGGTGAAAGGCCTGGTGGGGTGGAAAGAGATCAAGGGGGGAGGAAGAAGAGTAGAATGGGGTAAGAGTGGTTTTACGGGGTAAGTAGGAAAGTGCTGTGCGTCCAGCCGCCTGTGGAGATTCAAGTTCATCCGATGGAAGGCCTGTTGGGATGGAGGAGGGATGTAGGCAGAGGAGGGAAAGGAGTAACATGGGGTTGAGAGCAGTTCAACGGGGTGAGGGGTACAGTGCTTGAGCGTACAGCCGCCTGTGGAAATGCACGTTCATCCAATGGAAGGTCTGTTGGGATGAGGTGAGAGACAGGAGGGCAGACACACAGGGAAGGACAGAGAAAAGCACAAGGCAGGGTTGAGAGCGGTGTTACAGTACCGCGCGCCCAGGTGCGTGTGCGGGCGTGCGTGAGTGTGGCGAGGCTTATGAAAGGGTAGGAGAAGGCATGGGGAGGTGAGACGGTTATATCTCAAAACCCTTCCTTCGAATGAATTTTGACTCGACTCAAACATTGGGGTGAGGCAGTTATGCCCCACAGCCCTTCCTTTGGATGTCTCGGAGGACCTGCTGCGTTCCTGAAAACACACCTGAGAGCGCACCTGAAGAAACAGAATGACTTCCCGGAAGCCTGTGCCAGCTGACAAAGTATCTGAGAGCTCACCACTTGATAACACACCTGAATACTCACCTGAGCGATTCCCTTTCAAAACTCATGCACATTTGGGTGCAAGCTTGAGAGAGCGAGCCAGAGCACCTAAGAGCACACCTGAAAGCGCACTGCGAGCACACCTGGGAAGACATCCGTGAGGATACATGAGATGAGAGCAGACCTGGAGTCACACCTCAGATCACACCTGAAAGCACACCTGCGAGCACACCCGAGATCACACCTGCGCGCACACCTGGCATCACACCTGAGCGAGGAGAATGACTTTCTCGCGGAACCCCGTGTCATGCGCCGCAGCAGCGGCGACGGTGAGCTTGATGGGCGCGCCGATCGTCTCCACCAGCGCCGCCAGCAGCCGCAGATGCACAGGCAGCATCGCGCGCGCGACCCGCCTCCCTGCGTGCGCCTCTGCTTCGCGCCACCCGCCTCCCTGCGCTCGCCGCCTCCCGCTCGCCGCCTCCCCGTTCTCGCGCCTCCCTGCGCGCCCCTCTGCTCCGCGCCACCTCGTCGATACGCGCGCAGCGCGCACGGCGGGCACAGCGCGCGCGGCTGGAACGGCCGCGCGTACGGACCGTTTATGAGGCCGGGGATCGCGATGTATCGAGCATGGTGTGGTGTCAGGCGCTTCACGGGACACGCACGGAACGCATGGTGGAGGTAGTAACAGGACGAGAGGCAGGCCGAGTATTGAGAGGTGCGCGAACAGGAGAGTGTAGGCTGTGGAGAGTCCTATGGGGACTTGAGACAAGGTGCTGGTCGGGAAAACCTGGCTGGTTCTAGATCTCTCAACGGCCGGCGCTGATTCGGCCTCAGCCTCCCTCGAGAAATGCTTTCACCTTTTTATCAATGCTACATACGGTGCATAACTAAATCGACGGCGCGATTCGATCATGATCGAAAATGGGGCCTAACTGGTGTTTGTCATGATCGATGGGGATGCGCGATAGGTCGGGAAGCTCGCAATGCTCACTCGGGATGATGTGTATGTGGAAGGTCAGTAGACGATTGGACTAGTACGGTCCTTTCTTTCTCGATTTTCTCCGTTAACAATTCTCTCGTCTGCAATGGTTGACGGTGGGATGGAGACTTGTCGATATGAGAGATTGAACCTTAGCCGTCGATTTCGTCCAAAAGAACCGTGGCCAGTCTGATTGGTCTGGTGCTTGCAGAAAATGCGGTCACCGCCACACCGTAGTACCCTGATTCCTCAGTGTTTGGAGCTGTCAGAAGGAGGCGCATGTAAAGCGAGGTTCGATATACTTTCAAGCTTGGCCGATATTGCAAAATGTGCCAGGGTCTCACGTACTACAAGTTTTTTTCCAATGATCGTTGACACTTGGCTCTGATTGGTTGGCGAGGTGTAAGATCCATAGAGGGGTGAAACGAGGGGTGCGAAGTGACCGCAAATTCCCGCCCCCCCCCCCCAACCTTCTAAGCTTGAAAATCTGGTTTGGAACCAAACCTAAAATTCCCCTAACACATCGAACCTGTGTCGCAAGCCGAGATTCAACTGTTTTGCAGTTTATGGCAATTTTGTATACTCGGATGACAAGATCCTTTGTTGTTTGAGTTTTGTAACCTTCCCTCTGGACACGCTATAATCACCGCTTCGATGTTGCATTTCCGCGAGCTGTGAACTATTTTCGCGATTCCTTCGTCTCCCTCACTAGCGATTTTCCCTAATGCCACAGATGTCATAGATGTCTCACGCCGTCCCTAGTAGCTAGAGTTATTCTATCGCGGATAGCGCCTGCCGGGACATCCGCCTGGTGCTTCGTCGTTGGAGGTTTCGCTGAGCGTTTCAAGCGAGTCGCAGAATCCGCGTCGCACATGGCGGCGACGTCGCTGGACGATAGCTGGCGAGCCTTGGGGTTGCACGATCCACCATCGGCGATCCTTGATGACGTCATCAACGCCGTACGAAACCTACGATCATTGTCGTTTTGTTTCCATATAGCATCTCGCCACGTTTCGTTTCCAGATAGACGTCCTCAGACTAATTGAGTTTTTTTGTCGAGGGCATCCTGAGTGGGCTGACGGTCTTTGCCTGCATGACTGCGTCCAATGAATACCCTCCACGTCAGTCACCGCGGTTGCCGTACGGGTTCAGCATCGTGTCCCCACCCCACTCCCTATCACCACTCCCACCGCCACTCCCCACTGCTCCCACCGGCATTCGGTATCTGCTTGTTGGGAAGGGAAGCGCGGAGGCAGTCGGGGTTGGAGTGTCTAGGTGCTCTGAATGCGGGGCCCTGTGGGGTCTAGTTTTGAAACGTCCGGACTATTTGAGTGCGACAGTCACAAAATCTTCGTCTCTTGTCTCTTCTTCTTTCCCTCCGGTCCCCCTGCTCCCCCGTTTCCCCTGCTCCCCCGTCCCCCCTGCTCCCCCGTTCTCCCATCTCTCCCGCCCCCCCTGCTCCCCCGCTCCCCCTGCTCCCCCACTCCCGGCTCTCTCCCGCCCCCCCTGCTCCCCCGCTCCCCCTGCTCCCCCATTCCTGGCTCTTTCCCGGCCCTCCTGCTCCCCCATTTCCCCCTCTCCCCCGTCCCCCCTGCTTCCCCGCCCCCCTGGTCCGCCACCCCCCCTGCTGCTCTGGTCGTGCGCGGATCACCAGGTGCACGAGACGTGGCTGGACGGAATCGAGGAGCTGAGGAGGTGAGCGGTGAGCTGTGAGCGGTGAGCGGTGAGCGGTGAGCGGTGAGCTGTCGACAGTGGGGGGAGAGATTGTATGGTGGAGAGTGGGAGGCAGAGATCGGGCGGCGGAGAATGGTTGGCAGTGATTGGCAGTGGGTGGGATAAGAAGGGATGTTGGAAAAGTGGATGTGGAGCTATGCACACAAGTCGTGGCGTTTGTTTTGTTTTTTTCCTTTTAGTTCAGTTTCTTCAGTTTTTCCCTCTTTCCACCATTCATTTAAACCCCTCTAGACATTGCATTTGCATTAAGTCACCTTATCGTCCTTCTGTGCCAAGTTGTGCACTCTTTGCCTTTTCGCCCTCCCCTCTCACTCACAATCTACATGTATTGATGCTTTCCGTTGCCATCTGCCTTATCTTTTGGTTATGTGATTTGCCTTTTGGCGTGCCGGAACATGGTTCGGCATGGCGTGGCGTGGCATGACATTGCGTGACGTGGCATGACGTGATGTGACGTGGCATGGCATGCACACGACCACAGCTGCATCATGGAGAAGTGCCCTGAGGGGGGAAAGTCGAAGCTGCAGCAGGTGAGACCGTGAGACTGACGCACTGACTGACTGACTGACTGACTGGCTGACACATGGACGGACAGTCATTGATTTTTTCTTCTAAGGCCCTCTGGTACAATCTATACATATATGTTATATGCACATATATATACATGTGTCCAGATGTATAAATACATATATGTGTATATGCTCTGTATATATATCCCCCCTCTTCAAACTCTCCCCATCCTTCCATCCCCGTGCACACATCAAGACCTGGACGAGGCATACCATCTGGTGGAGCAGATGGAGCACATGGAGGCCGTCAAGGCCGACTCACTGAATGACTGCTTTCTCTTCGTCTTGTTCCTTGTATCTCCCATCTTTCTCCCTTGCATGCATCAGGACCTGGACGAGGCATACCACCTCGTAGAGCAGCGCATAGAGGAGCACATGGAGGCCTTCAAGACCCGCGCCCTCGCCACTGCCTTCGCCCTGCCCCCCTCGCTACAAGCACACCTCGCCACGTTGGATGGGGAACAGAGGGTAGCTGCGCCAGCTGGCAGTGAAGTTGGAGCAGGGGGGGGTGATGACCTGGCGGCTGAAGCAGATGCTCTTGATGCTGAGCTGGCAGAGCTCAATGCCACGCTGGCAAAGGTGCAGAGCGTTATCCACATGTGCTGTTGCTTTCTTTACTGACTGTTATGCGTGCCTCCCTCCTTGCACTTCTGCTCATTCACTTCACTCCCCCCCTCTTCTATCCCTGTTCATTTTTTATACATGTATAAACCACTACCCGCCTTCTCCCCAACACAAGCTGCTCTGTTTCGCCTTCCTATTTCTCTTCCTTTCCCTTTTCATCTCACTCATTTCCTCTCTTCTTATCTCTCACCTTTCTCACTTTTTGTCTACGTTAAGTTTCTCCCTCTTCTGCACACTCATTTCGTTCCCTTCCCTTTCACTCGTTTCCTCCGTTCTTCACCTGTCCCTATCGCCCTTTCCCACCCGTGTGTGCCCCACCCTTCCCCACCCACGTGTGCCCCCCTTTCCCCTTTTCAGAAGAGAGCAGCGCTGCGAGCGATGAGGCGGCAGCAGCGACAGCAGCAGGCAGCACTGGGCAGTGAGGGGCAGCTGAAGCAGTTGCAGCAGATGATGCGAGGCGACCACAGTGGTGGGTGATGTGTGCATGGGTGCATGGGTGCATGGGTGCATGGGTGATGTGTGCATGTATGGGTGCATGAGGGAACGGTCAAAAGTGAAGCAAGAAGCAGGCGGCAGTGAGCAGTGAGGGGCAGCTGAAGGCACTGCAGAAGATGATGCGAGGCGACCACAGTGGTGGGTGAGTGCTTGTGGATGTTGGCATGTGTGCATAAGCTCATGGCGTATGTTTGCATGTGTGGATACATGGGTGCATAAGGGAGTGACCAAAGCTGCTGCTGCTGCAGCAGCAGCAGCAGCAGACAGCCATGAGCAGTGAGGGTGCGGATCATCTCGATTCAAGATGGCTTTTGGAACAAGCTGTTCAAGAAACCACTTCGCTAGGAAGCGTTAAAACTGTTTAGAACGGTTTAAAGTGGTGCGTTACTGTACTCTTGGACGTTCATGTGTGGAACAGCATTTGAACTGAGATGCCCCGTGCCCTGAGGGGCAGATTCAGGTGCGGCAGCAGATGAAGCGGGCTGACCTCAATGGTAGGTGGTGCGGTGCGTGCGTGCGTGGGTCCATGGATGCATGGTTGCACTGGTGCGCGCATGCATGGGTGTTGACTTCCTGATTTCGTTCTTCTCTGAAAGCCTTGGTCTCATTTCCTCCCTCCGTTTTCTCTCCCCTCCACACCGTCCTCTCTGCATCCGCCCGTCACGGATTGCAGAGCTGCTGGGCTCGCACGAACGACTGCAAGCGCAGCTGCACACGGCCATGGACATGACAGGTGAGGTGTGCGGTAGTGAGGCATTGGGGGGTGAGGTGAGGGGGGCGAGGGGGATGACTGCAAGCCCAGCTACACACGGCCATGGACATGACAGGTGAGGTGTGCGGTAGTGAGGCATTGGGGGGTGAGGTGAGGGGGGCGAGGGGGATGACTGCAAGCCCAGCTGCACACGGCCATGGACATGACAGGTGAGGTGTGCGGTAGTGAGGCGTGGAGGAGAAAATCGGGGTGGGGTGAGGCATGGGGGGGTGAGGCCTGGGGGGGTGAGGCCTGGGGGGGTGAGGCCTGGGGGGGTGAGGCCTGCGGGGGTGAGGCCTGGGGGGGTGAGGCATGGGGGGTTGAGGCATGGGGGGGTGAGGCGTGGGGTGGGGGGCTGAGGCGCGTTGAGACTGGACAATGTTTACAGTAGCTTTCTACAACAGCCCGTTTGATATCAGACTTACATGGAGGGGCAAGGGAAGAGGTACATAGAGAGGCGCTGATGGGGCGATGGCGGACGAACCATGTGGAGGTTTGAGAAGTAGTCACGACTCAACCTCTCTTCCCGCCCTCTACCCCTCTCTTCCTGCCCTCTACTCCGCTCTTTCCTCCCTCCACCCCTCTCTTCCCGCCCTTTACCCCTCCTTTCCCGCCCTCTACCCCTCTCTTCCCCCCCTCTACCCATCTCTCGCTCGCTCCCTCTCACTCCAGGTGACAGGGTGCCTGTGTCTGAAGAGGGAGGAGGCAGGGAGGGTGTGGCGGTGTGTGCTGCAGCGCATGGTGGTGCCTCTATCTCTCACTCGCTTCCTCGCTTTCGCTCTCTCTCTCTCTCCCCCTCTCCCTCTCTCTCCAGGTGACCAGGTGCCTGTGTCTGAAGAGGGAGGAGGCAGGGAGGGTGTGGCGGTGTGTGCTGCAGCGCACGGCGGGCTGAGTGCTGTTGAGAACCAAATGGGGAAACAGGCGGAGAAGGGGGGCACGGCGTGAGGGAGGAGTCTGGGAGGAAGGAGCATCCATGCAGCATCAACAGCAGGAGGGGAGGGTACAGGCGGGGAGGGTACAGGAGGGGAGGGTACAGGCGGGGAGGGTACAGGCGGGGAGGGTACAGGCGGGGAGGGTACAGGCGGGGAGGGTACAGGCGGGGAGGGTACAGGCGGGGAGGGTACAGGCGGGGAGGGTACAGGCGGGGAGGGTACAGGCGGGGAGGGTACAGGCGGGGAGGGTACAGGCGGGGAGGGTACAGGCGGGGAGGGTACAGGCGGGGAGGGTACAGGCGGGGAGGGTGCTGTGGCGGTGTATGGAGAAGCACATGGGGAAGCACGCGGAGAAGGGGAGCCCGGCGTGAAAGAGGAGGGCGTGTTGTATGCAACACCAGCAGCAGGAGAGAAGGGTGTTACAGTGGTGCCGGTGGAAGCATAAGAGAGCGCGCAGGAAGGCTCAGGAGGTGCAGGGGGGGAAGGGAGACGGAGGGGGAAGGGGTTGGATGGCAAAGGGGAGGAGAGCAAAGGGGAGGAGGGAAAAGGGGAGGAGGGAAAAGGGGAGGAGGGAAAAGGGGAGGAGGGAAAAGGGGAGGAGGGAAAAGGGGAGGAGGGAAAAGGGGAGGAGGGAAAAGGGGAGGACGGCAAAGGGGAGGAGGGAAAAGGGGAGGAGGGCAAAGGGGAGGATGGCAAAGGGGAGGAGGGAAAAGGGGAAGACGGCAGAGGGGAGAGGGCAGGGCTGCTTTGGCAGGGGATGGAAGTAGTGTGTTGAGCAGAGGGGTATGTCAAGGGAGGGACCGGACGGTTTGTGGATGGGAGGCAGAGGCTAATGATGGATGTTGTGCCGTGGTGGTGAAAGAGTGTGGAGTGGAGTGTTGGTGAATGAGGGGATTGATTGATTGCACGCCAGCACATCCAATGAGGGGGCTAATTGATTGTATTGATACGTGTACAGGAAGCAGGACAAGGGATATGTTTAGAGGGTTGGACATGAGTTGTGTTGTTTCTACTGGTTGCAATACGGTAGCGAATGTAATTGCACTGAGAATAAGCGAATACTGCAACGCAGTTAAGCAGCGACTTCACAATGCTGCTCTTGTCCTACCCACCACCAGCCAGACATTCACACACGAGCAACTCATGAGATGCAGGGGGCAGCAGCAGCCTCACTGCCCAGTAGCCATGGTTCACATCACATGCAGCTGCATGGATTGCTCGGATGCAAGTAGTGCCTTGGCTTGCATGCCTATTATTGAGGCGCCTAAAAAATAGACGCACTGTGATGCAGGCAATGCCTTGGCTTGCATGCCTTTGTTCCCATCCGCCGCAACCGGACCGGCGTTCATGTCTATGAGTAGGTGGGTGTAGTGCTCGTGTCATCGGTGTGACTGCACACACAGAAGGAAGATGTTGGAAGTTAAAAGCCAGTAATGTCACAGGACCAATGGGTTTGACCAGAAGATGGCACCACGTGTTACAAAATTACACTGGTTGTAGCACAATGGGCGGGGAAAAATGGCAGCATGCGACAGAGCTTGGGATTTGGTGCACACTCTCAACAATGGAGCATGCACACATTGCCATGGCATGGATGTAAAGGTCATGGCATACCTGCTTGGGTCGCACTGCACTGCGCGGCATGGAGTGGACATGGCGGGCAGCAGAGTGTGCTGCCATACCAGCAGTGGCTGCTTGGTAGCGGTCAGTCAAGACACGACGTGAGTGTTCTTTGAACACCGTGGCATACCTGCTTGGACCGCACTGCTCTGCGCGGCATGGAGTGGACAGGGCGGGCAGCTGAGTGTGCTGCTGCGGCTGCCGTGGCTGCTGGGGTAGCGGTCAGTCAAGACACGACATGAGTGTTCTCGAAGCACTGAAGCATACCTGCTTGGGTCGCACTGCTCTGCGCGGCATCGCGTGGGCATGGGCATGGCGGGCAGCTGAGTGCGCTGCTGTGCCTGCTGCCACTGGTCTGCGACGCACAGCGGATGCGGCTGCTGCTGCGAACACAAAAACCTGGTGGAGGTAGCAATGAAAGGGGCAGGTGGAGCGGAGGGGAGGGGAGGGAGGAAGGACAGTGGCAGAATGACACATCGCACAGACATCCCACAGGTGGCAGAACTGTTTTCCATGCTCATAGCTGGGTGTAATTTTCGAGGCGCCTCAAAAGTCGAAATTCTGAGGCGCCTCAAAAGCTGTTACATGTTCATGGTTGGGTGGCGATTTGTACCACGGGCACTAGTCGCAGTTATGGCTGCCCCGCCCCAGCAGCAGGCATGGTAATGCATCTCATTCCTCCAGTCTGCCCTCAATGCACACGCATCAGCACACCGTTTCTCACTGGAACGATCGCAGACTTACCGAGCAGCAAGAGCACCAGAAAGCCAGACCTGTTCTTGAGAGAATCTGAGACCTCACCGGATCCCACCGCATTGCACCGCATTCTGCAGCACCATCCTAACTCACCGGCGTGAGCCATAGAGCAGCAGAGGCGCCGTGGAAGGGCGGTGAGTAGACTACGGAATCGCCATACTCGCCCTTTAGGGCCTCCAGTATCTCCCCCTCCTGCCGCCCCGCCCTCAGCTCGTCCCGAATCATCTGATGGGATGGGATGTGTGCCGCGCAGGGGTGCATGACTGACTGTCCAGGTGCATGTGCACGTGTGAGTGTGCGTACGGGCATATGCATGAAATGCTGGCATCTTTGTGCATGATCCCATGCTTTCCCTTCCCCGTATGTCATTCATCGGCCCGGCTCTGATGCTTCATTGCTCACACCTCAAGCACTCGAGACAGCACGTTATGCGATTCACATCGTTAAGCAAGGAAGATATTTGACTGTTGGAGCTGATAGCGATGGTGCAACTGGCCGCATATTTGGCACGTCATCACACACACCTCCCTCACCCCCACACACCTCCCTCACCCCCACACACCTCCCTCACCCCCACACACCCCCCTCACCCCCACACACCTCCCTCACCCCCACACACACCCATCACCACCACGTGAGCAGCACACTCCACACATGCGCCTCATCTTTGCGTTCTGTTGCGTCTCACTGGTTGATCTTCGTAGTCGACTCGTAAGTCGCATCACCTCACCTCTTCATATTTCTGCTCACTCCTCCTGCATTCGCTCCACCCCCACTCCACTGCCAGAACCCTGCTATTTAATCACTATGTAAGCACATTCGTTAAGAGCACGCACCTTGCGCATGAAAATGGCCACGTCAGCGTTGGATTCCTCAATGCTCTGGTGGCCGCACTCCACACATCACACCTTGCTGCTCAGCACCCGCAGCCTCGCCTCCAGCTCCGCTGCTAGGACCTGACGGCTGCATTATAAGCACACTCGTTAAGAGCACCTACCTTGCGCATAAAGACGGCCACGTCAGCATTGGATTCTTCGATGCTCTGGTGCCCGCACTCCACACACCGCACCTTGCTGCTCAGCACGCGCGCCCTCGCCTCCAACTCCGCTGCCCGCAACCGCTGCTCCCGCGCTGCTGCTGCCACCGCTGCTGCATCTGCCGCTGCTGCTGCCTCTGCTGCCGCTGGTGCTGCTACTGCTGATGGTGTTGTTGGTGGTGCTGCTGCTATTCCAACACGACCATCAGCAGCACTAGGCGCAGGAGGCACAGGCGTTGGAGGGCTTTGATGCGAGTCAAGAGCCACACTTGTAGCCTTACTGCCTGATGCGCCCATGCCGGCCCTCACTGCCACCTCGATCGATGCTCCTATATGTCGCAATCTCTCATGCGAACACGTTACACCACCTCGCTACGTCGTTATGTCGCTACTGCGGAACCCACGTCGCACGCTACTCGCCGCGCCACCTCTGCACCCGCTGCAGCTGCTGATGCGCCGGCTGCTTCTCCTCGGAACACGAGTGGCGACGCGAAACGCCACAGCAGCAGCGGCCGATTGGACGTGAAGCGTCACCAGACGTCACGTACGCGCCATTGAGTCGGCCGCGCCGACAACAACGGAAGCTGGCGGAGGATTGGAAATTCTGGCGCCTTGCGAAAGCAAAGGCGACTTTCGGGTCGAATTGAAACTCGAATCGGTAGCCTGACGGAACAGCGGCAGGAGAAGGTGCGGCTGTATCGAAGCTCAAGAGCCGCCCTGCTCCCGCGCTTAGACGTTACGAATTCTGTCGATTTGATGCACCAACGGTCGTTCGCTATGCAGCGGCCGGTACGATGCCTCAAACGACCGACGAAATTGAAAACGCTTCGAGAAACTCGAAGAACTGTGTTGCGAGCGACTAGCAGCGTGCGGCGCGACAGGCGGTGCGCTGGGCCATAGAGAGAGTTTGAATGGACTGGGGACGACTTGGAGTGGGTGGGCACTTGTACTGACGGGCAAACTGAAAGCTGCAAGAGTGTACTGTATGGAAGAAGCTACTGAATGAAACACGAACGAGGCTAAAATAGGTGGAATCGAGCTAGGCGAGGACTTCGGGCTAGAGAGGTTCGGGAGGATGGCGATTGGCGAAAAGTGCGGTTTGCGACGCGGGAGTGGTTCGGGGCGAAAATGTAGGCCTAACCAGCTGACACGAGCCGCTACGGATGCATCGCTGAAGTGTGCCTACAGTGCAAGAAACGAGTTCAGATATCTTACGAGTGCTAAAAGTAGCGAAATTGCAGCAACTACCGTAACTGTTGAACAGGTGACAGCAGGTAGGAATTGGAAGAATAATCACAACTTGAACAAATATCATCATAATGCTGGGAAAGGTCATATCTGAAAGTGGCATCATGTTCGTCTACCTATCGACCTGAATCTTGTTTCTACACCCAGATGTCTAGGAACACAACCCTAAAACCACATTCCAAGGAGCTGCACCAAGAAAGTCTAAATCTACGTTCCAGGAAATCAGGACCACAGAAATTAAGCGGATTTAGAGGCAGCTGCTGTAGCAGCACGCACGGCTATAGCGGAGGCGGCGGCATTTGGGCGCCGTAGTGAGTGCATGAGAGCAAGCATGGCGGCAAAGAGAGTGAGCGCGCCTGCTTGATGTGCTGAGCCCAGCGACACAGGCACGTAGGTGAGCAGCGCTGATATGCCCAGCGTGACCTGATGGGGAATGACGGAGAGGGACAATGAAAGGAAGTGTGACAAGAGAGTGTCAGGCAAGTCCTTGCTGGGTGTGCTCTGCAGGGTGTGAGGGACATAGGCACATAGAAGGGTAGATAATGATCGCTCCCTGTAGCCCTACCTGCAGTGCTGTGATGGCCAGGGCGGTGGTGAGCAGCAGGGCGGAGCGCGGGTGGAGAGGGGGATACCCTATAGCATGCACGATCCCAGAACCCATTCCCAACCGTCCTTACCTGCAGCGCCGTGATGCCGAGGGCCGTGTTGAGCAGCAGGGCGGAGCGCGGGTGGAGAGGCAGCTTGCGCGCCGAGTACCACATGCCTGTCACTGCAGCGAGTGTGCTTATAGCGAGTACCCTGTGCTGGAACTGGAGAGGGATGATGGGGACAAGGTGAGGGGCAAGGTGAGGGGCAAGGTGAGGGGCAAGGTGAGGGGCAAAATGAGGGGCAAAGTGAGAAGCAACCTTAACAACAGGAGGGGTCAATAAGGTCAGCCAGTGGCACGTAGCCAGTGGCACGTAGCCAGTGGCACGTAGCCAGTGGCACGTAGCCAGTGGCACGTAGCCAGTGGCACGTAGCCAGTGGCACGTAGCCAGTGGCTGGTGCTGATACTTCATGGTGCGAGATGTTGGAAAGAAGATGCAATATATTACAGGACGCCCCTGAGATATTTTGAGGGGGAAACTCCATTCCACACGCGCTGGAAAGGAAAGCTTCAATATTTTCTACATGCCTATCATTTCTAAAAGCCCAGCCTGCATGCCTATCATTTCTAAAAGCCCAGCCTGCATGCCTAACATTTCTAAAAGCCCAGCCTGCATGCCTAACATTTCTAAAAGCCCAGCCTGCATGCCTAACATTTCTAAAAGCCCAGCCTGCATGCCTAACATTTCTAAAAGCCCAGCCTGCATGCCTAACATTTCTAAAAGCCCAGCCTGCATGCCTAACATTTCTAAAAGCCCAGCCTGCATGCCTAACATTTCTAAAAGCCCAGCCTGCATGCCTAACATTTCTAAAAGCCCAGCCTGCATGCCTAACATTTCTAAAAGCCCAGCCTGCATGCCTAACATTTCTAAAAGCCCAGCCTGCATGCCTAACATTTCTAAAAGCCCAGCCTGCATGCCTAACATTTCTAAAAGCCCAGCCTGCATGCCTAACATTTCTAAAAGCCCAGCCTGCATGCCTAACATTTCTAAAAGCCCAGCCTGCATGCCTAACATTTCTAAAAGCCCAGCCTGCATGCCTAACATTTCTAAAAGCCCAGCCTGCATGCCTAACATTTCTAAAAGCCCAGCCTGCATGCCTAACATTTCTAAGAGCCCAGCCTGCATGCCTAACATTTCTAAAAGCCCAGCCTGCATGCCTAACATGCACGGTGGTGAAGCCGAAAGAACTTCTCCTTTTTGCTGAGCAGCTCAACCTGCACGGTGGTGATCGTGGTGTGGGTATCTGGGTACCAACTCACACAGCACCCACCCACCCACCCATGCTAGCATCAACGCACCTGCACGGTGGCGGTGTTGTCAAACAAGTTTCGGTGCAGAGGAGCCAATCTCCAGTATCTCTGGCGGCACCCAGTGGTGTGGGGGACAGCAACCACCCATCCACGCACCCATGCACACACACACTGCACGTCCATGGACCGAACTAGCACGGACCAACACATCCACCGACCCAAGCAAGCCTGCCCTCACCTGCACCGTGGCGGTGTTGTCAAACAAGTTGCGGTGCAGCGAAGTCATCTCCAGTACCTCCAGCGGCATGCTGTGGTGTGGGCAATAGCACCCACGCACGCACCCACGCACGCACCCACGCACGCACCCACGCACGCACGCACCCACGCACACACACACACACCTGCATGTCCATGGACTGAACTAGCACTTATCCAAACTCCCGCCGACCCAAGGAAGCACGCACCTGCACGGTGGCGGTGTTTTCAAAGAAGTTGCGGTGCAGCGGAGTCATCTCCAGTATCTCTGGCGGCACCCAGTGGTCGCCCATGTGGGGAAACGTGTTGAATGCACGGCCCTGGTGGGCGGGAAGGGGAGGGGAAGGGGAGGAGTGGATGGCACGAGCAAGGTGTGGTGTACTAGTGACCTCGAAAGCTGTTTCCACGAGTCTCTGGCGGCACCCAGTGGTCTACCATTAGGGGAAACGTGTTGAACGCGCGGCCCTGGTGTTCGTGGAGGCGGGGGGAGGGGAAAGCGTGGGAGAGGCACGGGTGAGGACGAGGTGCAGACACTTGGAACTGATTTCAACTGCCATCCGTCCGTGGCATCACTGTGCGTGCAGATGCACGCACGAAGATGCATAGCGCTTCAGGGTGGGTTCTGAGTGGATCTTTGGGTGAACGGAAGGCGAGTTGCCATGCCACTGCCTGGGTGCTGCCTGTCTGCAGCACCAGGAGCACTTGCGGCACGGACGCAACGAAGCGCACTCACAGCGTCGTTGCCAGCGACAAAGGCACCGGAGAAGGCAGTGACGCCCAGTAGCATGGCCACTGGGTGCAGCAGCGGCCGCAGCCGTAATGCTGCCTGCACCTGACTTCTGAGTCGAGCTTTAAGTGAATCATCTAGTGGAATTTCGAGTGGAATGAAACGAGCACGAGCGGCACTGCTTGGGTGTTGCTTCCACTAGGAGCACTTGCTGCATGCAACCTGGCACACTCACAGCATCGTTGCCAGCAACAAACGCCCCGGAGAAGGCAGTGACAGCGAGAAGCATCACCACAGGGTGCACCAGCGGGCGCAGCTGACTACTGAGTCGATCTTTAAGTGAGTTTTTGAGTGGAATTTTGAGTGGACTGAAACGAGAGCCAGCGGCACTGCTTGGTTGCTGTTTGCACTAGGAGCACTTGCTGCACTTGCTGCACTTGCTGCATGCAACCTGGCACACTCACAGCATCGTTGCCAGCAACAAACGCCCCGGAGAAGGCAGTGACAGCGAGAAGCATAACCACAGGGTGCACCAGCGGGCGCAGCTGACTACTGAGTCGATCTTTAAGTGAGTTTTTGAGTGGAATTTTGAGTGGACTGAAACGAGAGCCAGCGGCACTGCTTGGTTGCTGTTTGCACTAGGAGCACTTGCTGCACTTGCTGCATGCAACCTGGCACACTCACAGCATCGTTGCCAGCAACAAACGCCCCGGAGAAGGCAGTGACAGCGAGAAGCATCACCACAGGGTGCACCAGCGGGCGCAGCTGACTACTGAGTCGATCTTTAAGTGAGTTTTTGAGTGGAATTTTGAGTGGACTGAAACGAGAGCCAGCGGCACTGCTTGGTTGCTGTTTGCACTAGGAGCACTTGCTGCACTTGCTGCATGCAACCTGGCACACTCACAGCATCGTTGCCAGCAACAAACGCCCCGGAGAAGGCAGTGACAGCGAGAAGCATCACCACAGGGTGCACCAGCGGGCGCAGCTGACTACTGAGTCGATCTTTAAGTGAGTTTTTGAGTGGAATTTTGAGTGGACTGAAACGAGAGCCAGCGGCACTGCTTGGTTGCTGTTTGCACTAGGAGCACTTGCTGCACTTGCTGCACTTGCTGCATGCAACCTGGCACACTCACAGCATCGTTGCCAGCAACAAACGCCCCGGAGAAGGCA